TAATCGGGTAAATTTAATGGATTTGTTTGAGTATATGAGGTTCATAAATATTATCCTTATAAAGGGAATTGTCTTTGTTACATATACAATTATATATGCTCTGATAATATTCTCCCTCGGGTTCTTGGAGTTCTTCCTAGAGATATAAGAAAGTGGATCCTTCTTTTACTTATTGGATAGTACATAGAAAGTCGTTAAAAGACATGAATATTACCAATGGTGGACTCATGTGGTGGGTTGGGGGGGGGGGGTAAGGGAGGGAAAAAGATAAAATGATCTTTGCCAGAAAAGGGAAGAAGTAAAGTAGGGAAGAATTCAAAGGAATGGAAGGAGTAATAAGGTTTTGTCATGCTTCTGTAGTTCTGTACATCATGACCTTAGTAATTCTAGAGCTAGTTTTATAAAACTTACGGAGTTTTTTTTTTTTTTTTTTTGAATGATACTCTGCCTTTCATCTCTTTGAGTCAGGAAAGCCGTTAATAACTATCACAATACGTCCTCCTTCCAAGAATTGTTTGAACACTTTTTTAGGCATGGAGTTATATATGATTAGTTGTTTAGATGCTATTAATTACTACTCCACTAGGCTTGACACATAGTTTAAAAAAAGCATAGGGTGGGGAACTAAAGTGAGGATTTTATGGTATAAACTATGAAGTATTGATGGTGGGGGTATATGTAGTTGGTAGTAGGAGAGAGATAATATCAAAGTAGTGAAAGTGGGATTAGCGAGAGAAAGAGATAATAGTGGACCCTTAACAAAAATAGAGGGTTTTGCAATTGATCAAAAATGGATGAAAAAGGAAAGTGTTGCAATTTACTAGAAACAGATGAAAAAAGGATTATTATGCTACATGGACTTGGATAAAAAGATTTGAAACGGGTACAGATTCGAGTGTCCGATACATCAATCTCGAAATTTCAGGACACGGGGACTCAGTACGAGTTTTGGACACAGGTATAGGGACACGACAATTAATGTATAAAATTTATAATTACAATCTTTCAATGCTAAGGAAATCTACTTTAATAAAGTTTTTTAAAAAAAATTTTAGATATATTAAAAATTACTTCTTTTAAAAAATTCACTATTATAAAAAATACAAGCATTGTGCATAAAAAAAAAAAAAAAATTTGAGGATGAAAAATCATAATTATGCTGTAAGTAGGGATTTTTTTTTTTTACTTTTTGATACTTCACACGTCATCTCTTCACCCACCTTCCCCACTTTTCACTCTCTAGTCTTTGTTTTTGCTACTCAGTACTGTACAATATTTCTTTTCTTCTTTATTATTATTATTATTTTTGTTCTTTTTTCTTTCTGGTTTCTCTCCGACCACCTCCCAAGTTGGAGTCCCAACCAACCGGCAAGGATGAGAATATGGCTATGGTAGTTGCCTCAATGTGCGACAAAAAGCCCTCATAAATAGATGAGCTAATTTATGAATCTAGGGTTTATACAACTAGGAATGTCTGAGTGCATTTTGCCGAGTCGGAGCCGAATTTTCATACCCATGTCAGTGTCGTGTCGTGTCGACACGGGTGTGCGATGATTATTGGCGAGTCCATGTAACAGAGAAGGATTATATAATAGGAAAGTGGGTGTGACAAGAGATGATGGTATATTTTATTATTAAAAAAGTAGATGTGATAGAAGATAATGGGTTATGGTTTTTGTTGATTGTGAGGGAGTGACTTTAACTTTTTGGTAGTATAAAGAAAGATGTGTAAGAATAATATTGGAATCTTTTCCAAATTAGGAGTGTTTATACAGCTTGTTTTTCCTAATAAACCCCTGGCTTAGGGATGGCAATCTAGTCCGGATCTGACCCTACTCCGCCCCGATCCGAGGTAAAATATCCGCTCCGAGTCCGAGAAGAAAGTATTCCGAGTTCGACTCCGTTAAAATAATCCGACTCCGAGTCGGAGGAGGGTTGGAGTCGGATCCTACAAAAAATCCGAGAAAAAAAATCCGACTTCGACAAATGTCCGACTTTAACGGATTATCCGACTCCGACTCCAATAGATAGTGGATTTTGTGTGGGTCATGGTGGCATTGGGTGTGGGTTGCAAAGGCCCAAATAGGCCAACATCTCAAAGTATATTGAATAATGAAAAAAAAAACTCGAAGTCGGGTCGGATCGGAGTCGGAGTCGGAGGTCGGATATTAAAGTCGGAGTCGGAGTCGGATGTCGGAGTCGGATTTAACCTCCGACTTCCTGTCGGGTCGAAGTCAGATTGAGCATAATCCGCTCCGAGTCCGACCCGTTTCCATCTCTACCCTGGCTAGAGATTGTAATTTATATGGAGTTTGGTTCTGTATTTCATGCGGGTTTTAAACACATAATATTGTGACCTGTATCAACATTGGGAGAAATGGGAATGGAATTTTCTGCTGATGGTTGGATTTAAAAGAAAGTTCTAAGGATCCCGGTCTCTTACTTGATTGCTATTTAGGTTAGTTCAATGAGGGGAGAAAAGAAGAGAGAGGGGGGGGGGGGTGAAGTTTATAATTTAGATTTGTTTTGGATAATTTGAAATTTAAATTCTGAAATGATTGACTGTATATCTCCGTCCCAAAAAGTTTGCCTAGAATTTTTTTTGACTGATTCTATATTTCTATGTATTCTTGCTTCGTTGGCATCTTGAGTTATTCATCTTAATTCAAACATTTTACATGCTTTTGACCAGCCAAACTTCCATCTGTTGTTATCTGTATTGGGGGACCCCAGGGGGTGGGGTGAGGTGGCAGATATGAGATTACAAATTGTTCGTTATTTATTTGCATAATGGTAGAAAGTAATTATATGTGATTTTTTTCCCTTGCTTTGTAGAGGAAGCTTGTACCGGATACTTCATCGTCCCAATTGTCAGATTGACGAAAAGCGTAGAATAAAAATGGCACTTGATGTGGTATGGTTCTTTCACTTTCCACTATTTTGGAGTCCATAGAAGTATACCTTTGACAATCATCTCGTTCGCAGGCGAGGGGCATGAATTGCTTGCATACAAGCACACCAACAATTGTGCATCGTGATTTAAAGTCGCCTAATTTATTAGTTGACAAGAATTGGAATGTGAAGGTAATTTGGAAATTTCAATGAGTTGCCTTTTCAGTTGAAATTTTGGTTGGCATTTTGTGATGTAGTCATATCTTCATCACGATCTATTTGCATCATATGTACAACGTGGCCATGATGAGCTTTACCATGAAAAAAGTGTTAGTGGAGTTGAACTATCTTGTGACCTACCTGCCTTAGAAAGTAACAGCTTTTGCATTTTTTTTAGCACTGAAATTTCTTCATTTAGGTACTGCCTTGAATTGTTTGTTAGGAATCTACATTATATACTGAAAATATTTTTCTCTGTTTACAAGGCTGTATGTTATCCATCCTTTACCTTCTTTATATTAAGGACAAAGAGGAAATTGAGTGTGGTAAAGATAACTCCGTGTAACTATATGCATGCAGGTTTCTTCTAGGGAGTTAATAGATTTGTGAATAATAAATCAAAATCCTTCTCTGGCATTTCCTTTCTTCCCCCCCTTGGCATGCTAGAGTGATATCACTTCGGTAACAAGAATTTGTCACTGCAGGTTTGTGATTTCGGATTGTCAAGGCTGAAGCATAATACATTTTTGTCATCTAAATCAACTGCTGGAACTGTAAGAGCATTGAACCTGACGATTAAAAGTTAAAACTTTTTTTTTTTGAAATTTAAATTGTTTTGGTATGTATGTTATATTACTCTAACAAAGACACTCTTTGTTGTAATAGCCTGAATGGATGGCTCCTGAAGTGCTTCGAAATGAACCATCGAATGAGAAGTGAGTGCCTTGCTTGATTGCATTTCTTTCTCCTATGAATTCACCTGTATTCTAGTTGCCTGGTATATATCTGTAAAACCAATCACACTCACCCCCCCCCCCTCCCTCCGGCCTTAAAACAAATGTACATACCTTATATATGTGCCAAAATATTGCGCTTGTAATGTTAGCTTTCTTCTTGCAATTGAAGATATGATTAAATGCTTCGAGTGAGAACCTGTCCTAGATGAACTGCACTAGTCCTAATAAAAAACGCCCTTATTACCAATGACTGAGTTAAATCTTGTTCTTGTTGGACATCAGATGTGATGTATATAGCTTTGGAGTGATATTATGGGAGCTTGCAACTCTCAAGTTGCCTTGGAGTGGGATGAACCCGATGCAAGTTGTGGGCGCCGTGGGTTTCCAGAATCGGCGCCTAGACATCTCCAAGGAACTTGATCCTTTGGTTGCTAGGATAATACTGGAATGTTGGCAAACGTAAGTTCTATTGTCTCTATCTGTTAGCCACACCCCCATCTTGATCTTTCTTGTATTAAAGGTGTTTCTATTAGTTTAAGGTCAAATTTATGCATTCAAACTCATTTTATGTCATAATTTCCAGGGAGCCGAACCTGCGCCCTTCATTTGCACAACTTTGTGTAGCCTTGAAGTCCTTGCAGCATCTTGCTCTCCCGTCCAATGTTGACCAGCAAAGTTCAGTGACTCAACATGAAATTTCTGTAAATTCAACGCCTTGATTGCCAAGTGTGAATAAAGATTTTATATTCTTGGATAGTTGGATGTAGTTGTGGATAAGGTTTAGCAAAAGTAAAAATCTGATGCAGGGGAAAAGAAATACTAAACACAAGAATAGGAAAAAAATTGATAAAAGGCATCCTCTGGGCAGTTTTCCATTGTCAATGTAAGTAGTAATTATATTTCGATTACAGGAGCCACAGCAGTCCGAAGGGAATGTCAGCCGCAAAATTTTGTACAGAGATGTGCATAGCTTCTGATGCAAATATTGTGATGTACTTCGTATATATGTATGTCTATACACAGCTATACCTAATTTTATGAAATATAACATGGAATTGTGAAAATGATATGTACAGAAATTTGATTTCGATCTATTACTTTATCTGATTATCCTAACAAACTGGCTTAACTGCATAGTATTTTCTAAACATTATGTCAAACCGATATGTTTGCCAAGCTAGGAAAGTGAAACTGATAAGTTAGCTATAATACTTCGTATTATTGATGAGTATTTATCAGATACAACATACCAAATAAAACAGAAACTGATGATACGTTAACAAATGTTGAAGAACTAAATAAAAAAAATTCAGACTCTAAATAGTTTATCATTGATCAGCTGATGGAAATTCTGTTGACAGAATACCATAGATAAAAACATCTTTAATTTGTCCCTTAACATAGCTGTATTTCCTCAAACATCCTTCCTTAAGAAAACCACACTTTTCTAAAACCCTTTGAGAAGCCTTATTTTCCACACTAACCAAAGTTTGCAGCCTAACCAATTCAGGGTAATCCTTAACAGCCTGATTCATACCCATCTTCAAAGCTCTTGAAGCAATCCCTTTGTTCCAATGCACCCTAGACACTGCATACCCTACGTGTGCCCGGCATCTATCATCGCCCGAGCCAGGGTGTATCGAGATCATCCCTATTGATCGATCATCGATACAAATGGACCTCCTCCAAGGGTGTGGTATGCAAACATCCTTGATAAAAGTCAAGGCTTCTTCCTTGGAAGTGATGGTTTTCCACGTGACCAAATGTTTCATGACTTCATCATCACCTGCCCATAATATGAAATCATCAACATCTGTGATTTTGAATGGCCTGAGGATGATTTTTGTTGGGTTTATCTCCATTGATGGATTATTAAGGATGGCAATGGCAGAGTTAATTATCTTATGCTTTATATAATGTTAGTGGTCAACACTTCAACACTAAATGGAGTACATATCATATCATATCTAGATTCTCTTATCTTTTTTTTTTTTTTAATTATTATTATTATTATTATTATTATTATTATTATTATTATTATTATTATTATTATTATTATTATTATTATTATTATTATTATTTAATACTCATTCAAACCATCAAAGATTGTCTCATAAATTAAACTAGACTAGAATTAATACATAATGTTTTTTTTTTTTTGTAAACTAACCACCCTAAAACTCTAAACACTTAACTCAAATAAACCCTTTACACTATAACCACCTTTGCTTTTCACAAAAAAAAAAATCATGTAACCCTTTTTTTTTCCCAACTGCAACAATTTCCATATATTTGTTTTCACTAATTTTTACTTCATATTTGTCTCATTTAGCTTTTTTTGCGAAAAAAATTAAGTGCATGCACATATATGTTTGAGCACAATATTTTCGAATACGCAATACAAAAAAATATTATATTTTGCTAATATTTTGAAACTATTTATCGACACCAAAAAAAATAAAAAAATCCTATACGAGTATATTTTTCTTGATTAAATCTTCTCTCTTAAAAGATTCTGAATGCGATAAACAAATCGGCAATAATTTTTAATTAATTATAATAGATAAGAGCATAAATGCTCCATTGAGATTGATAACAGCATATGTACTCCATTGGCCGTATACAGTATACTAAAGTTTAATAGTTTTTGTGGACTACCTTTTGATCACTCATCCAGAGAGATAAATGCATACACAACCCAAGCACAACTAAAGAATAAAGTATAAAGATAACCCATCTTCTTTTTTTATTATTATTATTATTATTATTATTTATTTAGAGTAGTTTTTTATCATCAAATTTTCATAATGACTATTTAAAAAACTTCTTACTACATCATAATCAAATTAAATAAATAAATAAAACAAACTATCTGCTGCCAAAGAAATATGATTACAAGAAGAGAATTTCGTTCTGTAATCATAATTTCAGCAGATAAATCTTCAGTAATCTAAAGTCTATGTGTATTACTCCGTATCAGTGTTGTAATTCTTGTGAATAAAAAGATTTCAATCTTAATTGATCTTCTGAAAACTTGAGCAAAGTATGTCAGAATGAGCCTCTGTCCTCAACAGCTTTCTTAATTCTGCAGGTGAAGTCGTCAACTGGCATAGTGCCCAGTTCTCCGCCAAATCTGGATCTGACAGTAACTGATTGGGTCTCCAGCTCTCTGGGGCCAACGACAGCCATTAACGGGATTCTCTGCTTTTCTGAAGTTCTGATGAGCTTAGGCAGGCGCTCACCATGGCAAACTTCAGCGCGTATGCCATTTGCCTTGAGTTTGTTGACAACCTCGCGAGAGTATTCAAGCTGTAGAAACAAGCATTGTTATGTTAAGAATATACGTCAATTATAAGTTTATAACTACCATAGAAAAATGCATATATGCTCTTGGCATTGATATTGTACAATTTCGAGTTCTAACCTGTGTGTCGGTCACAGGCAGGACCCGAGCTTGTATAGGAGAGAGCCATAATGGGAAATCCCCAGCATAATGCTCTATAAGAACACCAAAGAATCTCTCCAAGGATCCAAGCACGGCTCTGTGAATCATGATGGGTCTTTTTTTCTCAGAATTGGAGTCTACATATGTTATATCGAATCTCTCGGGCAAATTAAAATCAACCTGAGATATCCAGCATATAGATCAAATCTCAGTTAGTGAACAAAAAAGCTCAATTGGAATTTCATATTCACACTCTATTCAACTTTTCGTATCATATTCCATATGTATTAAAATATAGTAACAAGAATTTTGTAAAGAAAAAAATACGCCATAAATTTTTAGTGAGAAAAGTAAACAGTCAAGATTCGGTCACAATAAGTGAAAGAAACACAAGAAGCATACATAGTTTTTTATCTCATGCTAGACAAGACGGAAGTTGCCAGAATAATTTCCCTCATTTGTTCTGTGATAAATTATTTACTTGGTTTACCTGAATTGTCGAGCATTGCCATTTTCTACCAAGTGCATCTTCAATTTTGAGATCAATCTTTGGGCCATAAAAGGCACCCCCACCTTCATCAATTTCATAGCCCCAACCTTTATCATCTAAAGCTTCTTTTAAAGCCAATGTGGCCTTTTCCCATATATCATCACTTCCCACAGCTTTTTCTGGCCTCGTAGATAGATTCACTTCGTATTGGTGAAAGCCAAACTGAAGCAGTATTTGCTCTGTAAGATCGAGAACCCCCCGTATTTCGTCTTTAATTTGGTCCTCTAAACAAAATATATGTGCATCATCCTACAATCGTTGAAGAACAGTTAGTCTTGTACTCAAAACCTCTGAATGACAATTTTCTAATCAGTTAAAGTCCATGATAGGCACAGAGATATAGAAATTGATTAATAGACAATTATATAGTATATTACATACCTTTGTGATATAATTAATCTTTAGAAGAAAAGAAGCATGAAACCCAAAAACAATTTCGAAAATAATTTATGAAAAGTAAAGAGCCAAGGGTTTGGAAACTTCAGCCATCAGTTTGAGACAGCTTCAGAATGATAGATATAGACAAAATATGGTGCCTCTCTTGTGGAGTATTATAAATAATTTTTGATGCAAAAATAGAATATAATAGCAGCTCAGAACAGAAAAACAGAAAACAAGGAGAAATATATTCTGATCAAAAACCAAAAATACAGGCTATTCTGATACTCCGTAATATCAAACTTAACCAAGTAACTATTAGGATACCCTAGCCAACTTATCTTACGATGATAAGTACAAATAATTGGAGAAAAGAAATACAATGGCCTTCTAAGAACTTCTGATATTGTAAAATAAATTATCAAAAAATAAAAAAATTTACTACAGCACATGAATCTACTACGGAGTATATATGTTTCTGTATCTTCAGAAAAGAGAGAATTTATGTGAAAGTCACAGAAGTTTCGTACCTGAGTGAAACCTCTAACACGGAAGAGGCCATGCAGGCTCCCAGACAACTCATATCTGTATACTGTTCCCAGCTCTGCAACCCTAATTGGAAAATCTCGATAAGAGTGCATTTTTCTTTTGTACACCAAAATATGGTAAGGGCAATTCATTGGTCGTAGTTGATAAAGCTCATCCTCAATATTCATTTGTTCAAACATATTCTCCTTGTAGAAATCAAGGTGACCACTTATCTTCCATAGATCTGCCTTTGCAACATGAGGAGTGTAAAGCAGACTGTATCCACGTTCAATGTGCAATTTTTTCCATGTATCTTCAATAATGTGCCTCACGATGGCCCCTTTTGGATGCCAAAAAACCAAGCCTCCTCCAGCATCTTCCTGTATATAAAACATATTTTCTTATTCCTTATTGAAACTGAATTTAAAAATACTACCTCCGCTTTATATTATTTGCAACATTTGTCAAAAATGGATGTTTCCTATTATTTGCAACAAATGTTTTCTTTCCATTTTAAGTTGTCATTTCTCTCAATCTCTCTCCTCACCACAAGCATCTCATATTTTCTTCATTTAACACTTACAAACAAATTTCGCCTAGGAGTCCACGGAAACTCATCTGTTGTAATTGTTGATCTATAGAAATTATATATAGAAGAAACATAAAAATTCCAATACACCATATAATTATAAGTTTATCATAATCATTGACTGTGATGGGAGAGATGCCGTGTCATCAGAAGGCACACTGGAAAAAATTAAAAATAAAAAACTCATATTCTACCAGGAGACAAGAGAGCAGCCAGTTATATGAAAACATGAATTAAGGAATTTCATAGTACTATGATTCATAACTATCAAGCAACTTGGGAATCAAAATCAATTCGTATACAGTACACAACTAACACTTAAGGTTTGCTCATTTCACTAGGAAAAGGGTGCTGGTCTAATTGAAGTTCTGGACTCTAAATCTTTCTTCTGATTTGGTTGGCCTAAACTCTATATGATATAACTTTGACTGGTTACATTAGTTTATAATTAGACAGAACATTATAATGGGTTCTTGGCATTCTTGCTAGATTCATCTTAATGTAAGTATTCCATCTAATTTTGATAATATTTACTACTCCCTCTGTCTCCAAACAAAAGTCTCATATGCCTTTTGCACAAGTTTTTACAAGGTGAATAGAAAAAATAAGATAGTGTGGTTAGGTTGATTACATGAAAATATAAAAAACAAGATATTGGGGTTCGGTTGATTAGATTAAATATAATAATAAAAATATAGTGGGCCAAGTGGGGTTCGGATGATTACAAGCGAATAAAGAAATAGATAAAAGTGAAATCAGACTTTCATTTGAGGAGAAGTTTTGTGCATAAAATGGGACTTTTATTTGGGGACAAAGGATGTAATACAGAATTAAAGATACTTGGTAATAAAAAAATAAAAAAATAAATAAAAATAAATTAAAATAAATAAATAAATAAATAAAAAAAAAAAAAAAAGAAATTAAAGACCAAGCATTGTCTGATTTGATCTGATTCAACAAAAATAAGTAACAAGCCTCATAAAGACATACTCCGCATGAACTCCAAAGCAATTATTTAGTTAAAAGGACCAAGCATGAACTGTTAATACTTTTATAAACCTCAGCTATGTCTTAAAGCCAGATGCCCCTCACTAGCAATAGTAGCAAACTCAAAGATGATATGGGATTTAGCAAGCAATAAGGAACTATGAAATTGAAATAATATTCTAAGTTTTCAATTGCATCTATTTGGAAAAGAAACAAAGCTTTCTTTGTGGATCTACGAGTCTACATGAACAGGGCAGAATCTTTTTGTGACAAAAAAATGATGAGTGTGGGGGATATAAAAAGGGTATTGAATGGGCTCTATAATACTAAGCACTTTTAACAAAGCATAAAAGTTTAGATATAAGATACCTCTATGGAAAACAGGTCAAGTTCTTGGCCAAGACGCCTGTGATCCCGCCGTAGAGCTTCTGCTTTGAAATGAAGGTA